TTTATAAATTATGTACAAAATTCTCGAAGTTAACAAAATTAGTTACATATTTAATATATTTTATTATTGTGGCAGAAATAGTAGTTTTATATTATTTGTTTAATATAAAAACCTTAACTCAATTTATAATACAATTAATAATCAACATAATGCCCTTGACAATATGGACCAATTACATATATAGTTTACTTATTTACCAATTATTGTATTATTATATTATTGTTCATTATTTAAAATACAAAATAATTTCTATTAACACATTCATTAAAGAAATTGCACAAAATAACACTAAAAGTAAAAACAATTTGTTTAAATTAAAAAAAATAATTAGAGATTTGTATGATACATATTTGGAAATTAATGAATATAACAATAATTATTGGTCTAAATATTTGCTAATTATATGGATAACATTTGGTACGATTATTAGTTTTATGGGTGATTTGGCATTTAGTAGTAATGTTAACATAATTTATAAAGTCGGTTTTAGTATTGCTTTTTGTTATTTTGCATTAATACTATTATTTATAATCCAAATCTCATCCAAACTCTACATTGAAGTCAATAATACATATATTTTATTGAATTCACTGTTATTATCAAAATATAAATTTGGAATTATTTTAAAATTAAAGGTAAAAAACATATTTATAATTCATTTAAGTGTAAAATGAAACTGGTTACTTCTTAAGTTTAATATTTACAAATATTTGAATTTAATTTTAGTTATTGTCAGTAATGGAGAGAATAGGTGTGAAAAGGATTGGCTTTTATTGTTGGAAACTATTCATTATAAATGAATTCAAGGGATACGAGGTTTGCATTAATTTGACTAAAGCCTAACCAACAATGTTAAAATTTAAAATTATATTTTTTTTGATACGTTTATACGAGTATTTACATGATAATTTATTTTACAGATCATTTCGCTTACAATTGTATTGTTTTTAAAGATAAGAGAAAACAATTAAATTTTAATATTTATTAATATGTAGATGTTTATTTTTAAAGTACTTTGATAGCTTTTAACTTTGCATAATACAATATTAGATCTATGTTGAATGTAAATTGACTTTCAATAAACTGATAACAAACGGCAATTGTGCTTGTCACATTTATAAAAAACAAAATACTAATAATGGTATAATGGTTCAACGGTATACCAGTTGTCAGAATAAATAAAATTAATTTATTTCATTACAAATACAATTGAAATTAATATCAATTAAAATACAATAAGTAACTGATTGTGACAGCAGGTGATGGCTGACCCCTCACAGCACCAGATGATCGGGTCTACTATTGATGGCGTACTCGTTGATGGCATTCCTCTCCCTATCCCTCGTCAGACACCGCTGTTTGATAGCCAACAGTGTCTTCAAGTCGGTCCACATCTTCAGTTGTTTTCGGTGTTGTGTCTCATTCTTCCGGAAATCCATTTGTTGTTGTTTTAGACGCTCTTTCTCTGTCTGTTGAGCATTGAGTTGACTCTGGACTTGATGTCTTCGGCGGTCACACGAAATACAAATCGCATATCAATACACTTCATAAGACAACAACTTTTACAATACTTACAAAATAGAGTCGGACTTATCATCCGCGGACTCCTGAGCCACATACAGGTTCACCTCCTTGTCCAGCACCTGCTGCCTGGCTTTCAGCACTTCCAGCTGACACTCCATGAAGTACTGGTTGGACTCGAGCGCGTGGACCTGTTTGGTGATGTCCTGACACTCGTTGTCGACGGTGGCGGCGCTGGTCTCGAGTCCGGCGGCCATCGCGTCGTACGCCTGTTGTCTCTGATAGTACTCTAACTGCAAGTCCTGACACTTCTGACGCATTGGACGCAACTCTTTGATGACTGGCGCCAGCGTTTGCTTCTTGTCGTTGATCTTATCGTTCAGATCCTTCAGCACATCCACCAACTCGTCGGTGCTCTGGAGGCGACTGTTCTCGTCGTTCACTTTGTTTAGAGTCATCTCTTGCATCGAGAAGTAGC